AAAAAAAAAAAAAAAAAAAAAAAAAAAAAATTATAAAAAAAAAAAAAAGTCTAGTGTCGACTGGTGTTTTCCCTCGTGATGTTTACAGATTGCTGTCTGCTGCCCAGCTAGAGCCCACTCAGTGACAGAGACGAACGGGGCCGCGCACACGGTCTCCTCCTGTGCCCAGCGCCATCCCACCCCCACCCCCACCCTGGCCCTTTCTATCACCAACCACTCTGCCTTGGGTGTTTTTTCTTTCTTTTTTTTTGGTTTTGTTTTTTTGTTTGTTTGTTTTGTGGGGTTTTTTTTTGTTTTTTCCCCCTCCATTTTTCTGGCTTGGTTTTGCACATATCTCACCTTGGGACCCTGATATGTAACTTCATTGCCAAAAAAAAAAAAAAAACCCAACCTATCAAGGACCTTTTCCTCTCCCTACCCTTTATCTCTCCCTCCTTCCCTCCTGGTTCTGGTCAGTTCAGAGGATTTAATAATCACAAGTGTCCTGCAAAAATGCCAGAACATTTTTCTTAGACCCTTGTGGATTTTTTGTTTCCAGAAAACTTAAACACACAAAAGACTTATTAAAAGAATATGTACAGTTATCCCTGTTTTCAGGCACTCTGTTTGAGAACATTTTAGCCATTGATGTTCACAAGTGGCATCAGCCCATGAAAGATAGGTTTCTGTATTTATATATTAAAATACAAAAAAAAAAAACCTTATAAAATGTTTAAAAAAATGTTCAAAGCTTGGGGGAAAAGCTTTCTTCATTAGTCAAGGTGTTTTGATATGGTATTAAAATGTCTAATAAAAGGTGCACTGTGTGACTTTATTTTAATGAGGTATTGTTACACATTCAAGAATTGGGGGTTGAAGGCCTGTCCCCCACTCCCTCACCTACCTCCTTAGCCTTCCTCCAGGCTGCTACTTGGCACTACAGGAGTATGGAGTGGTCCTCAGAGCAGTCATGCCTGGGCAGAGGGAACCTGGCAGGTCAGACCTGAGTCCTTCAGGGTTTTTGACCCTCCCAAGCATCATGGAGTCCGTCTGCCATCACCGGCGGAGTGGTTGTGACAGAACTCTTCAGGAAAGATCTGCGGGGGCAAAAGATCCTGCAGCCAGTGGAGGCTGCAAGGATGCAGACTCAAGTATTGGCCCAGTCCCCACCTTCATCCTCAGTTCCCCATCCCACGTCCCGTCCTGCCTCCCCTGTTGCTCAGTCTGCATCTCGGTGCTGACTCATGGGCATGCTTCATTGAGGCCGAGAAGGAGGCCCTGCTTTGGGGCTGAGCCAGCTCAGAGCCCTTGAACTGGAACCAGCCACTCTGGGCTCACAGGAGTTGGCACACCTCGAGCTGGGCGGGAAGCTCGGAGCAGGGGGTAGCGGCGCATGCCTGGCCTCTGTCCCTGTGCCAGACAGGCTCCTGGAGCAGCATTCCAGAGCCTCCTGCAGAGCCTGTGAAGGAAGGCTCTGGAGGGAGATACCTCCAAGCTTCTGTGCTCACACCCCTCCTGGGGCCTCTCCATTGCTGTTGCCTGGAGAGTGCTCTGGCTCCCCCAGGCTCTGGCTCCCCCAGGCCCTGGCTCTGCAGTCATCTAACGTCAAGTGCTTCCCAAAGCACCTACTCTGTGCAAGGGCACCGCAGGCCAGGGGGCGGATGTGAATCGAGGCACAGGCACGCTCGGAGTGTTCAGAGAAATGCTAAAGAATTTGTGGGTCTGAGCCTGGGCCTTAGCGTCAGACCCACCTGGGGTGGGGAACCCCCAATCCTCCCCCCCCCGCCCCCGGGGACCAACCCTTCCCAGGGTAGCAAGAGCATGAGCTGTAAACTGTCTGTAGGTGGGCTCCTCTGTTGGGCAGAATGATCTTGGGGGGACAACTTGGCCCTTCTGAACCTGAACCCCAGGTTGGATCGCATTTGAGTAGGGACAGAGCCGCACACCTCAGGTCACTGTGAGGGGCAGACAATCCGCCCGGAAGCTTCTGGCACATGCAGAGCAGGTTGCCTCGTAGATCCGTCCCCGCAAAGAGCACTGTTCTATTCACAGCACCTCCTGCTTCTGCCTGGCAACTGTGTCTCCCTGTTCTAAATTTAATTCCTCTAGCAGAACTGGCCCTGGAGATCTCCTTGCCTGACCCCTGGGCCGGCAGGCAGAGGCCTCTGTGACCACCTTGGCGGTTTTGGCCCGGGGGCCTTGGCAGCTCCCTGGGTGAGCCAAGTGGTCGTGACCCAGTAGGGCAGGCTGCAGCCCACACTGGGCACTATTCCAGGCTCCTGGGGCCAGTCCCAGTCCCACTCCCACCCAGCGCACGGCAGCCCTCTGCTGGCTGCAGTGTTCTCAGAATCTACCCAGATCGCCGGCTCCGAGGGCAGGGTGGACCGGGCTGGTCCAAGCTTCCCAGGTAGAGCTGCGCTATCATTCATGCTCCCTCCAGGCAGCTCTCCCAAGCTCTGTCCTTCCAGGGGTGGAGGGAACCAGCAGGAACTGGGAGGTGGCTAAGGGCCTTGCACACTTTGGGGAGCTTCCTGGGCAGAAGCAGCTCACTAAGACCGTTCAGCTAGCAGCCATTTAACAGTGTTGAGTTTCCTAGGAGAAGGTCCTTATGCTTAGGCAGTAGATGTTAAATTCTATAGGTAAATGGTGTCAGGAAATGTGTAATTCAATTCCAGATGGTTCCCCAGAAAGTACACACACAAAGCAAATTAGGCAGAAATAGTCACTTGAATCCTCAGGGGCTGGTATTTCAGTGAACGGTGTGCTTGTTCTTCCAGCTCATCTAAGAAGAACCGTGCCCAGTAAGGGGAGACTCCTCCATTGCAGACTTCCCCCTGAGCTGGGGGCGAGGCAGCTAAGTGGGGGTGGGGGTGGGGCCAGTGAGCTGTACACTGCTGAGGCTTAGATGGTGCCTGGAGCTGGCTGCTTGGGGAGAGCCAGTGAGGCTTGCCCCCACATCACCCCTTAGCCCAGCGACTGCTTGCAGCCTGGGGGTAGAAACGTCACAGAGGAGCAAACTGGGCTCAGTCCAGTGTTCGAGTGGCTTCCAAGGACCAAGTTGGGCTGAAAAGTCCCAGAAGGGTGGCCTCTGTCCAGGGCCTGGACAGCTGATGGGGAGAGGCGGGGAGGGGCCCAAGAGGTGGAGGCAGGGAAGGAGCTCAACAGGTGGTTTATGGGAGTGAGGTGAGATGGGAGGGTCCCACTGGCCTTCCTGCTTTGCTGAGCTAGCACCTTTGCTTAGGGGCCAAGGGAAATGGGCCCGCAGGATAGGCTCCTGGGACGGAGTTTAGAGACTGACTTCCAGGACACCAAGCCAACCCCATCTCAACCTTGGGGAAGTAGGGAGGGGACCCAGGGCAGAGTTACAGGCCCTGGACAGAGGGGAGTCCTGGGTGCTGCTGCCCAGCACAGATGCTGTGGTGTTGGATGCCCTCTCGTGGGCTTGGGAACAACTGATAAGTTTGAGGGCCAAGTTGGTCTGGCCAGGGATCCTAGGGCATGGGCAGGCCCAGGGGAGGGCAGATCCTGACTTCAAGGGGGAAAAGCTAGTAGTAAAATACATCACACCATGGAGAAGTATAATACAAGGACAAAAATTTCATTTCCTTTTCAATTGACTGGCAGCAGCCATTTGAAGAACATGTTCAGAATGTTCTCGGGCCCAGTCGAGGCCAGTTGTGAGGGGTGTCAGCCATGGGCAAATCCTCAGGCTCTCTGTTCTCATGAGCAGCAATTGCGACAGGGACTTTCGTCCCTGAAAGCGACCTTCTGTAGCCTAAGCACCATTCCCTCCCTCCCAGGCTGCGATAAGTCAGAGGACAGACAGGGGAGGTGGGACGAGGGACAAGGACAAAGGTTAGAGAACCTGAAGGAGGTGGTGAGGGCAGGCACAGAAGGCCATTCACAGGTACTGTCTGCTCATCTCCAAACTACTGCAAATGGGGTTCTGGTTTATTTCAGGGGCCCAAGGGCACCTACACCAGGAAAGGCATGTTCCTGTCACCACACCAGACAGGTAGAGTAGGGCTGAGGGAGCTGAGACCCTGAAGTCTTTTTTTTTTTTTTTTTTTTAAAGATTTTATTTATTTATTTGACAGACAGAGATCACAAGCAGGCAGAGAGGCAGGCAGAGAGAGAGAGAGGAAGGGAAGCAGGCTCCCCGCCGAGCAGAGAGCCCGACGCGGGGCTCGATCCCAGGATCCCGGGATCACGACCCGAGCCGAAGGCAGCGGCTTTAACCCACTGAGCCACCCAGGCACCCCGAGACCCTGAAGTCTTGCCCCCAGCCCTTAGCAGCAGGGAGGGCTGGACCAAGGGGAAGGCAAGCAAGGACAACGGCAGATCTGGGCCAAGACAGAACTGTTCTGTGACAAGAAGGAAGGTTCCAGAACAGGAGGTTCCACTGTCTGGGGGCTTGTGGGCCAAGCACTTGGAGCCCCTCACAGCACCTTGCCTGGGTTCATGAGGCCTCGGGGATCCAGCATGGCCTTCAGCTGCCGCATGATCTCCATGCCCACGACGCCCACCTCTTCCTGTAGCAGCTGCCGCTTGCCCAGCCCAATGCCATGTTCCCCAGTACACGTCCCATGGAGTGCCAGTGCCCGCCTGGGAGGCATCGAAGAGATCCTCAGCAGGGTGCTCCTCCCCCACCTCCCCGCCAGCCAAGGGGTTTTCTCTTACCTGCCCAGCTGTTTTCCAAAGTCCCTGACCCTGCGGAGCTCCTCAGTGTCCTCTGGGTCCACCAGCAGGATGCAATGGAAATTGCCATCTCCCACATGTCCAACAATGCATCCTGGGAACCCAGAGGATAGAGCTGCTGCCCCAGTCCAGGCCTCCTCCTTCCCTCCTACATGGTGCTCCGGCAGTGGGCATACGGACCTGTGAGTCCTGATGCCTTCAGGTCCTCCTTGGTCTGCACCAGGATCTCCGGCAGCCGGGAGATGGGCACACACACGTCAGTGGAATAGCCCTGGGTGGGGGCAGGTTTGTGAGGTTGTCCCCCCCTCACCCCATGCCTGCCCGGAGGTAAGAGGTCCTTGTGGCCAAGGTTAAGAACAGGTCAAAGGAGGCTTGGCCTCACCCCCCCAAAACTAGCTGCTTTTCTCTAGGCCTGTTTGCCCCGGACGACCAGACACATGGCCAGAGTGAGTGCCCTGCCCTGCCCACAGAGGCTTCGCCAGCTCTCACCTTGCTCCCTGCCGGGCCACATGCAGGGCGCACGTGGAGGGGCCCAGGCGGCCACGCCTTCGCACATGCTGCCTGGAGCCCAGTCTCCCCTTCCATTTGGCTGACCCCTTCTGCTTCATCCTCCCTCCAGCCAGCCTGCCCTCTGCGTGCACGGACCCTAAGAGCACCTGCGCTGTCCCTGTGCCCAGGCCGGGGCTCCCTCCTGAGGGTTTGGCAGACAACTACTTCCCCGATAGACAGTGTCTGAGAAGCAGACACTGGGTAGGGGCCAGGCTGCCCACAGTGGGTCTCAGCCTCCTGCTTGGGACAGCAGGATGGTGGGCAGTGGCGGCTACCTGCACCCCAGCCCAACTCACCTTGCAGCCCGGCCGCAGGGCCAGAGCGGCGTACCAGGCGTTGTGCCGCGCCGCCCAGAGCCGGCTGCGCTCCTGGGCACCCTTGGCCCAGGAGAAGTGGGAGGCTCCGTTGTGCTGGGTGATCTCCTCTGCAAGGGTGGGGTGGGGGGAGGTTCACACGGGGCCTCACTCGGGGCCAGCCTGAGACCCCACCCCACAGGAGCCCAGCACACCTGCCCGCTCTATCTGCTCGGCCAGTGCCCTCTCAGACCCATGGAACTCGAGGAAGAGTGTGGGTGCCACGGAGGAGTTCAGCTGGCTGTGCCTGTTGCAGGCGTCCATCATGACTTCATCCAGAAACTCTGGGGCCAAGGAGAGGGCAGGTGAGGTGAGGCCCAGCCTTCAAAGAGGGCCTCTTCCAGGAAGCCCACCCAGACGGCCCAGCCCCCAGCTCACCAATGCGGGCCACGGGCACTGCAGCTTGGAGGATGTGAACGGTGGCATCCACAGCCGCCTGAACACTGGGAAATGTGCAGGTGGCGGCCACCGTGGCCTCAGGGGCAGGGTGCAGGCGCAGGGTGGCGGCCGTGATGAGTCCCAGTGTCCCCTCAGAGCCCACGAAGAGCCCTGTGAGGTTGTAGCCGGCTGCACTCTTCCTGGACCCCGGGGACATATAAGGCAGGTGAGTGCCCGGCCATGAGGTGGTGGCTTTCTGGCCACCAGCCTGAGCTGGAGGCCCAGCACCATCCCCCCGGCCCCTGCCAAGTGGGGAGTCAGCCCAGCCTGCCATCAAGACAGGTGAAGAACGTTGGCCCGTGTGTGTGATGGGAGCCTCAGAGCCCTCAGGGGCCTGGCCCCCCAATCCCATTTCCGGGAGGGGGAGGGTGCTCACCGGAAGTGCCGGCCCAGGCCCGCGGTGTGAAGCAGCCGGCCACCAGGCAGCACCACCTCCAGGTTCAGCACGTTGTCCCGCATCGTGCCGTACCGCACAGCGTTGGTGCCGGAGGCCGCGGTGGCCACCATGCCCCCGAGGGAGGCGTCCGCGCCGGGGTCTGCAGGGCAGAGTACAGGCAGAAAGCTGCCTGGGGTACGTACCCGGGGACGGAGGGCTCCCCTCGCACCTGGAAACAGCCCTGTCCCCCTGGGAGCCCTCAGGGCACCGGGGAAGGGCCTGGAGCTCCAGCCTACCCACAGGAAACCAGAGGCCACTGTCCCGCAGGTAGGTGTTGAGAGTTTTGCGGGTGACGCCGGGCTCCACCACCACAGAGAAGTCCTGTGGGTTCACCCTCAGGATTCGGTCCATGTGTGTCAGGTTGATGCAGACGCCGCCCTGGTGGGAAGGGATGCCAAGGAGCTGATGGACCTCGGTCCTCCCGGGGCCAGGCCACCTCCCATAGGACCTCCTCTCCAGGCTGAGCTGCGGCTGGGTCAGGAGCCTCAGGAGGCCAGGCGGGGAGGAGGCAGCCACAGGTGTGACAGGCAGGAGTGGGGGCCAGAGCCCAGGCCTGGGGAGGGGGGCGCCTACCTGCATGGCACAGACTCCACCCTCAAGCCCCGTGCCGGTGCCAAATGGGACGATGGGCACTCCTTGGCTGTAGCACAGGGCGGCCAGCCGGCTGACCTGTTCCACATTCTGGGGCCACACCACAGCGCCTGGAGGTCGGCACCTGGAACCAGACCATCAGTAGTTTCTGCAAGTACGGTGTATCCTCAGGTCCTGCTCATGTCGGAGGAGCCCAAGGTATCACAGGGCCTGAGGCTACACGTGGGAGAGGGATGGGTGGGGAGGAGAGGCAGAGAATGCAGCCCTCCCCCCAAAAAACGAAAGGGTGGGGTAGAAGACAGCCCAGGACTCTGATGGGGGAGGGGCCCCCACACCTGTGCATGGACTCATCGTGCCCGTGCTGCTCTCGGTCAGCAGCGGTAGTGGACACATGAGGGCTCCCCACAACTGCCTTCAGAGCCTCCACAAAGCCTTTGCTGAGCTCGCCCTGCAAAGAAGAAACAAACTGCCAGAGTCGCTCAGAGCCCCCCCACCCCCGGCCCCCCTGGGGCAGGTCCAGGAGTGGGGGAGGGGCTGCCAGCACCCCACTGATATTAATGGGAGGGCCAGCACAGCTAGGCCTGGCCCGTGGACCCACAGGAAGTAAACCCACTCTACAAGAAGGCACCTTTCTAAACAGAACCATCGAGGTCAGTGTTTCACTTGGGAAAAAACAGCACCTGGGTCAAAATAGGAGCCAGATTCACTCTACAGAAAGGAACCCTACAGGGTTCCATAACGTAGCCAGTCCTGCCCTAGTGGCTTGGAAGAGTTACTTATCTCTGCCCTTCCTCCAACACTGCCCCAGGTACGCTAGGAAGCTGAGAGGGATAAAAGAAGAATGGGAAGGGAAAGCCCCATCCCCAAGCCACTGAGGTGCCTCCCCCCACCATCCTTACCTCCTAGGCATTGTTTCAAAATGTGTCTACACATTTGGGAGCCCCAAAGAGAGCGTTCTGGAGCCCACACACTTTCAGTTTTATACCCCCCAGCCTCATTTGTGGCAGCTGTGGGGACCTCAGCCTATCTCATTCAACACCCACGCTTGGCACTGAGTGAGCCCAGTGGTCCTCCGCTCAAGGTCATAGGGTGCTGGTGCAGCACACAGAGCCTGGTGGAAGCTTGACATCTGGCCCCACACCCTCCAGCGGGCTTCCCCGTCGTCCCCCACCTACCTGCGTCCCCCTGGAGCAGTAGCCCCTCCAGGGGAACAGCCCCCGGGGATTCGCAGCAGCCCAGAGCAGACTGGCCATTGTGGGGCAGCAGCCTAAGGGGAGTGTGCAAGGTGGCCAGGTTGCCACCCCAGCCCAATGGCTGCGCTTGGTGGAGGGGGGGGGGTGCCTGCTTAAGGTGGCACGGCCTTAAGGTGGCCCTGCCAGCCCTTGGTGAGTCAGGCGTGCACCCCATAGGCGTGTGTCAGTACTCCCAAAGAGGTGAGGGTTACCTAACACAAAGGGAAACAGGCTAGCGGCCCCTCTCTGGCTTAAGGCTCTGTGGCGGCTTCCCTTGGTCTTTAAAATAAAGGCAGCATCCTTGCCATGGACTTAAAGGTCTCTATGGTCCCTGCTGTCCTTGACATCTACCCACTTTTTTCCAGTCTCCTCTTTGGCATCTGAGTTCCAGTTTCCCTTTGGGTTCCTGTATCCCCTGAGCTCCAGCCCAGCTCAGGGCCTTGGCACACACCCTTTGTCTCTCTTACCCTGCAAGTCTCAGGACTCTGAGGAGGGAAGTGCACAGAGGCGGAGGTGGGGAGGGAGTAGGGCAGTGAGGCAAGCCCGGAAGTCTCCCTGGAAGAAGGGAGATCTAAGTAGGCACTGCTCTAGTTCACCAGCTAGGTGAAAGGAAAGGAGGGTGTCCTTTCATCTCCACTGTTCCACTGGGTGGATTTCAGACCCATCCTGCAGTGATGTGGCTGCCGCTCCTGAAGCTCTTCCAAGCTCCGTTTTCCTTCCACAGCAAATTTGGAGATGCATGTTGCTAACATTACTAAGATAAAGCTATTCCCAGCTTTGTTTTTCTTCTCAATTGAATCACGAATACAAACTCCTACTTGGGTCCTTCTCCCCAGCCACGTTTGAATGAATTCACATTTCCACTCCCAGTGTGTTGCTTAACTGGCTTGTCTCAAAAAACGTCTCTTACAGTTGGCTAGTTCAAATCAAGATCCTGTGAAAGTCCACACAATGCATTTGGTTAACATGTCTCATAAATCTGTTTTCTTCTCTAGCAGTTTCCCTCGCCCCATACCTTTTTTCCATGCCATTTATTTGTTAAAGAAACTGGGTCTCTTGTGTAGAATTTTCTATCTTCTGTTTGTGGATGATTGCATCCATGTGGTATTGTTTGATATCTTCCTCTGGTCCCTGTATTTCTTGTAAATTGTTAGATCAAGGTGTGGCGCTGTGCAGTACAACTTCCTGTTAACTTTTAGAAATATTCAGTATCTGTGCTTCCATTAGCCACAGGTAGCTAATGGTACTGGAGGTATCTGTTGTTTGAGGAGAGATGCCAGGGAGAGATTGTGGCAAACCCTAAAAGAAGAACTGCAGTGCAGATCCCTAAGGTTTGGAAGCAGGGTCATGACATTTGCAAGAGGGACTATATACACCATTCAATAAAGTGCCCCTGGCCTGTTACCAGGTCCTGGTTATGATGGTGAGTATGAGCACATCAAGTGGCTACCTGGCTGGAACTGGGCATCATGGGCTGTGTTTTTTGTTTGTTTGTTTGTTTTTAAGATTCCATCCATTCATTTGTCAGAGAGAGAGAGAGAGAGAGAGAGAGAGGACAGCAGGCAAGGGAGGGAGCCCAATGTGGGACTCAATCCAAGGACCCTAGGATTGTGACCTGAGCTGAAGGCAGAAGCTTAACTGACTCAGCCACCCAGGCATCCCCATGGGCTGTATTCTATCAGACTCACCAATTCATAAAGGCAGGTGGGTCCAAAACAACCCATCATTAGACAAAAGAGTAATAGGCAAAATTGGACACAACCAGGGCCAGAAGGCAAACTAAGCTGCACAGGTAGACAGCTTGGATCCCCAGGTCACCCACCATCACCTGGCCAGCACTTTCCTTCAGCTCACACCTTTATGGCCATAAGGGGAACTTTGATGACCAGCTGATAGAAGAAGGAATAGTTCAAGCTCGGTTCATGAATGGGTAGGCTCAGTATGAGGGTGTGAGCCAACAGACTGTTGCTACACTAGGGCTCCACTTAGGGGTAAAGGAAGTCCCTCCAGTTGGCAGAGCTCCAGGTCATGCACCTAATCATCCCCTTTTGTAAAAAGAAAAATGGCCCCGTAGAAGAATAAGTATAGGCTCCTGGGCAATGGCAAATGGCTTGACTATGTGGTCAAGGTCCTATTAAGGAGAAAGATTGGAAAATCAGGGTCCAAGAGGTTTGGAGAAGAGGCATGTAGATGGATCTCTAGGAGTAAGCACAAAGTGGGATCTCTGTAGCACAGGTATCACACGTTAATGCCCACCAGCCAGTATCTGACACGGAAGAGACCAAATGAAGCAGATAGCATGATTCTGCCAGTTATCATTGGCCAATGATATCAGTGGTCAAAGACCACTCCAGTGCTGGCACAATGGTAGCATGGATAGAGGCTAATAATGGATCCGCCAGCGTGGAAACCATTCACTAAGGCTGATCTGGGCTGCCACTGCTGGGCATTCACCCTATTGCCACATTGAATCCCCCACATAGTACCATTCCTCAAGGAGACCAACCAGCCATTTGGTCACAAGTCAGTTACAATGGACTGCTTCCACTCTGAAAGGGGAGCAATTTATGTGGGCTGAGATCAACACAACACATGTTATGCATGTGGGATTGCCTCTCCTGCCTCCATGGCCTCAGCCAACCCTACTGTCTGGAGGTTCACAGAATATTTGATCCACCAACACAGCATACCACATAACATAGCCTAAAGCCAAAAAACCCACTTTTTTTTTGTTCAGTTCAGAGGCCATTGACCTTACAGAACAGTGGTGGAATGGCCTTTGGGAGGTACAACTAAGACAGCAGCTTGGAGATACATCCACTCCACTGCAGTGCCAGAAGAGGAAGAGATTTTCATATAACTAACAGATAAAAGGTGAGTATCAAAATGACTTTTAACCTTTTATTTTGAAATAATTTTAGACTTCAAGAAAAATTGCAAAATTAGTACAGGGAGTTCCTATATACCCTTAACTTGGTTTTCACTAGTGTTTACATTATATATAACCATAGGACAGCTGTCAAAACTAAGAACAAGTAAAATATTCATCAATATAGTTAGAGAATTGGTGCAAATTTGATTTCACCAGCTCTTCCAATAAAGTCCTCTTTTTGGGGGGTGGGGAGAGGAGTTGTTTGGTCCAGGATCTAATCGATCATCTCATTCTGCCATTAGTTGTCTTGTCTCCTTCGTCTCCTACAATCTGTTGCAATTCCTTAGTCTTTTCTTGTCTTTCTGACCTTGACATCTTGAGGAGTACTTGTCAGTTACTTTATTGAATGTTCTTCAGTTTGGATTGTCTGTTGTTTTCTCATGAGTATATTGAGGTCATGTGTTTCTGGCAAGGATGCCACAGAAGGGCGATGCCCTTCTCAATATATCATATCAGCGGTTTCAGATGTCAGTATGTCTTATTAGCAGTGACGTTTACTTTGAACACTTGGTTTAGGTCATGTCTGTGGGGTTTCTGCACTGCGAAATAACATTTTTCTCTCTCTCTTTTTTAAAAGATTTTATTTATTTATTTGTCAGAGAGAGAGAGAGCGCGCGCGAGCGAGCGGAGGCAGACAGAATGGCAGGCAGAGGCGGAAGGAGAAGCAGGCTCCCTGCTGAGCAAGGAGCCCGATATGGGACTCCATCCCAGGGCGCTGGGATCATGACCTGAGCTGAAGGCAGCTGCTTAACCAACTGAGCCACCCAGGAGTCCCACATTTTTCTCTTTTTAATTAGCAAATATTTGGGGTAGATACTTGAAGACTGTACCAATATCCTGTTTCATCTCACTTTCATCCACCATTCTTAGCTTCTACTGGTGGATCTTGCCTGCAGTCGTTGTTATTGTGTTCTGTGTGTTCTGTTGGTGATTTTCTACTTCCCTTATTCCCTCAGTATTCGTTGATTAGAATTATTCTCTAAGGAAGAGCCATCCTTCTGCCTCATTTATTTATTTACCTACTCAATTATTTATATATTATCAGTATGGACTGATAAATACTTATTTTATTCCACAGGTTATAATCTAATACTGTTATTATTTTGTTGCTCAGTCAGTTCTGGCTTTGGCCACTGGAGACCGCTGTCATATGGATTTCTCTGCCCTTTAGACACCCACAGCTATTTCTGAGCACTGCCTTACTTTCTAGAACTATAAGATGCTCCAGGCTCATCTTGTCTTCCCCCTTCTCACACCAGTAACCAACCACTTTTCCAAGGACTTCTGGCTCCTTTTAGTGGAGAATAGTATTTTGAACTCGAGATTTGCTTGTTAGATGTGCTCCTAAACTGAACAATAAGAAAACAAAAAACGTGTTTTAAAAATGTGCAAAAGATCTGAACACTTCACCAAAGAAAACATACAGGTGGAAAAAAAGCATATGAAAAGATGCTCAACATCACCTGTCATCACAGAATTACAAGTTAAAACAAGACATGCACCCATTAGAATGATGAAAATTAAAAAAAAAACAAAAAAACAAAAAACCTGACATCAAACGCTGACAAGGACACAGAGCAACAGGAATTCTCATTCACTGCTGGTGGGAATGCAAAATGGTACAGTCACTTTGGAAGATAGTTTGACAGCTTCTTACAAAGAAATGCCATAGTCTTACCATATGATCTAGCGATCATGTTCCTAAGTACTTATCCAATTGAGTTGAAAACATATGTCTCTACAGAAGTCTGCACGTGAATGTTTACAGCAGCTTTACTCAAAATCTCCATAAACTCCACATCTCCAAGATGTCCATCCAAAGGTGAATGGTAAGCCGACCATAGTGCATTAAAACAAGAGAATACTTAGCTCCTAAAAGTCACAAAAAGACATGGAGGAATCTTAAATGCATCGTGCCAAGTAAAAGAAATCAGTCTGAAAAAAGCCACATGCTATATAATTCCAACCATGTGACATTCTGGAAAAGATAAAACTAGGCAGGCAGTAAAAAGACCAGTGGTTTCCAGGGACTAGAGTTGCAAGGGAGGAATACATGAACTACAGGGGATTTTTAGGGTGGTAGAACTAT